GGGGGTCTGTCAGCTTGTACTAGGAGCTTTTAGCTAAACACTTCTCATCTCCTCCTCCCAGTAATGCCTGCTTGCAAGTTCCTGTTTTCCATCCTTTGTCTAAATGCTAATTCCTGTTTTGGGCCCACCTTTTGCTGGAGGGCCCTGGGAATGTAGGCTTCTACCTTGGAGATTTTCCACCATGCCTGCCTTTGGTATTTAAGGCTCCATCTTTGTAATAATAAACGCCATTCTCTTTGTAAGAATGAGCCACTGTCTTTGTCCTCATTTTACATCCTTAGCCCTTAGCCTTGGCTCGCTGTAAAGTATGGTAGCTCCGTAGCCGCAAACACACTGGTGGCTCGCTACACTTAGCTTGAAATCCGAGGCAGAATTTAAGAGGTTTTTATTTTTTCATTCTTCTCTCATGTACATTCTGACCACAGTTTCTCCTCCCTCCTCTCCTCCCAGTCCCTCCCCCCACCGTCCCTGTCCCCCCAGGTTCACTCCTTCTCCTTTCCCTTAAGAAAAGAGTGGGTGTCCCAGGGATATCGACAAAACATGGCATATCAAGTTGCAATAAGATGGGGCACATTCCCTTGTCTGAAGGCTGGGTGAAGCACCCAGTAGGAGGAAATGGTTCTAAAAGCAGCCAAAAGACTCAGAGACACCCCCACTCCCACTGTTAGGAGTCACCAAGCTACACAACTGTGACATATATGCAGAGGACCTAGGTCAGACCACTACAGGCTCCATGATATTGTATGTCTCTGGGAGTCCCTATCAGCCCAGGTTAATTGATTCTGTGAGCTGTTTTCTTGTGGTGTCCTTGATCCCTCTGGCTCATACAGTCCTTCCTTACCCTCTTCGGCAGGATTCCATGAGCTCTGTCAAAGTTTGACTGTGGGTCTCTGCATCTGCTCCTACCAGTTGCTGGATGAAGCCTCTAAAAGAGGTTTTTGTTTTGTTCTGGGTTTTGAAAGATGCATTTTTAGATGTATATGAGTATGTATCTGCATGTATGTGTATGTATCATATGTGTGCCTAGTTCCCAAAGACTCCAGAAGACAGTGCCACATGGACATGGAGTTACAGGTGATTGGGAGCCTGCCAATGAGGATACAGAGCAGCGACCTTGGGTCCTCTTCAAGAGCAGCGAGCATCTTCACTGCTGAACATCTCCCAGTGTTGTGCCCAAATTCTGAACCCCAAAATCACCAAGAGGCCCATTTCGATGCAAAAACAAGAGTCTTTTATTGTAGATATTTAACGAGCTAACCCCATTAGCTCGGGCTCTTCACCCCGACACCATGGCGAATGGCTGGAGAAAGACCCTGAGCAACCTCGAGGCAGGGACCTTAAAGGGCAGCGTAAGGGGAGTCTCTAGGGGTGTGAAACAGTTTCAGGATTGGTGCGCTTCCAGGTTTGGGTGACCTGCCCTGTATTGATTGGTCAACTGGTTGTTATGGCCCATAGGCCCTCCCAGGGCAGTTGCTATGTTCTGCACGTCACTGTTGTACACTGTCCCTACAGCACACCCAGAGCCATAAAGCACAGCCCCGCCAGCTAACTTCTGATTGGTTCCTTGCCAAGAGGAGGCATCTGACCATAGTGACTAGGACAGGAGCGGCAAGGTCATACAAGTACATGTTAGCCTGTAATGGCGGCTAAAATGGGGGACTGGTCACTACACCAGCCTTCAGGGAGAATTTTAAACCACACACTGTTGCTGCAGAGCCCAAGTTCCTTGATGGTTAACGTATTAGAAGAGTGAAAATCAAGACAATTTGATGAAAATAATACACTCTCCACCCCCTAAAGTTGTGATTTTCTCTGTGCTTCTGCATTTCTGAGGCTTATAGAAAGACTCCAGGGCCAGCCTTCACAACCTGAGAGAGCCTTCCTTGGCTGAGCTCATGGGCAGTCACGAATTCAGGGTTCATGCAGTCTTGCTGGTCACACCACATGCTCTGTCTTCCGAATTCAGAGTCCTTCAAGCCCTCCCTTTGCTCCCTGGGACACGGTGGTCTTGCCCCTTATTTCTCAGTGAGTTAAAGGAAAAGCTCACAGGTCCTGGCATAATTCCCTGGGGGGGGGGAATGTAATGAGAGTAAGACTCCTACTGAGTAAGACGTTAGTTTGAGCAAGCATTCAGCTAGGCCCCGGCACCCTGCAGGCAGTCACCCCAGAGTTAGCAAGGATGGACAGGAAGACGCAGCCTTTCCTGTCCTCAAGGCAATGATGTCAGTCCCCAAGCAAAAGAGCCTGGTGAAAACCCTTTGTCACTCTGAGTTCATCCTAGACTCACCTAGAAAATGAGGTCATCACCTCTGTGAGCTAATGGGCTATACTCAAAGGAAAACACACTTCTCTCTTCAGGACAGGAATGGTTTGCCGATGAAACCTAAGTCAGGTTCCCTCTCCTCCATGGAAACAGGCAGGTCCTAGTCTCCCTTGATTATATCTCTACAGCCCAAAGCTCCACAAGCTTACCTAGATAGCTTTTAAAAAAGATTCATTCAAAGAGACCAAAAGAGAACTAAAGTGACAAGCCTCCTCCTATAAATGTTATACGAAAAACAAGGATAATGAGGGGAGTGACGTAGACAGAAGTTTTTGTCCCATCAGCCAACTCCCAAATAACCATGAAGAGACTTGCTTTAGTTCTAAATGCTCGACTGACAGCTTAAGCTTGTTACTAACTAGTTCTTACAACTTAAATTAACCCATATTTCTATTCTACATTCTACTACATGGAGGTATCTTTTTTCAGCATGGCATGTTCATCTTGTTTCTCTCCCCCTCTCTGTCTGTCTGTCTGTCTGTCTCTGTCTCTGTCTCTCTCTCTGTGTATAATGTGTAGCTGGAGAATTCGTGTCAATCATTAAGATGGGATAGCAGAATCTGTGTTTGCCAATAGCCAGCTGCTAAAGGCAATCAGAACTACTTGGCAAACGATAGCGCGTGAAACAGATGCAGTTATGGACTTACTCCATAAATTGTGAGGCTGTAGAAGGACACAAATGGTGGTGGGGACAGAGGTGGGTATAAAGGAAGGCTATCAATCACTCCAGAGCTCTGTCTTGCCTCTCTGGTCTGGTGGTTAGCCACATTTCAGAGACTTTCCACATCTCCCCTCGTTCTGTAGATGCCTAGGCCCCGGGACTTCCTAAAATGTGGAGTGTAGTTATTTTCTGCATGTATCTACCTCACACTCCTCCAGGAGCATGTGGGCTGGGAGGGGTCGACTCAGAACAAGAAACCTTTTCTAAGGTGTGGCTGTCCGGCTGTTAATAACACACATGCAGATTCCTTTTCACAATATGGGGTACAGATGTGTCTTTATAATACACAACACAGCAGCACATCTGTCCTCCCTGTCCCTACCTTGTAGTGAGAGAACTGGAGAGAATTGTCGCAGCTCCTGGTCCACAGACGGCAGCGGTTTGAGGAGACCGCAGCTCCTGGCCCGCAGACGGCAGCGGTTTGCCGAGATCGCAGCTCGGGCCCGCAGACGGCAGCGGTTTGCCGAGACCGCAGCTCCTGGCCCGCAGACGGCAGTGGTTTGCCGAGATCGCAGCTCGGGCCCGCAGACGGCAGCGGTTTGCCGCTTGAGATCGCAGCTCGGGCCCGCAGACGGCAGCGGTTTGCCGAGATCGCAGCTCGGGCCCACAGACGGCAGCGGTTTGCCGAGACCGCAGCTCCTGGCCCGCAGACGGCAGCGGTTTGCCGAGACCGCAGCTCCTGGCCCGCAGACGGCAGCGGTTTGAGGAGACCGCAGCTCGGGCCCGCAGACGGCAGCGGTTTGAGGAGACCGCAGCTCGGGCCCGCAGACGGCAGCGGTTTGAGGAGACCGCAGCTCAGGCCCGCAGACGGCAGCGGTTTGCCGAGACCGCAGCTCCTGGCCCGCAGACGGCAGCGGTTTGAGGAGACCGCAGCTCCTGGCCCACAGACGGCAGCGGTTTGCCGAGACCGCAGCTCCTGGCCCGCAGACGGCAGCGGTTTGCCGAGACCGCAGCTCCTGGCCCGCAGACGGCAGCGGTTTGCCGCTTGAGATCGCAGCTCGGGCCCACAGACGGCAGCGGTTTGCCGAGACCGCAGCTCGGGCCCGCAGACGGCAGCGGTTTGCCGCTTGGCTTTGCTTGCTTTTCTGCCCTTCCTCAGCCTTCCTTCTTTTCCCCCCTTCTCTCTTTTCCTTCCTTCCTTCGCTTCTTCCTTCCTTCTTGAGTTATTCCCCCCCCCCTTTTCTCAGGGTCTCACTATGTAGACTGTCCCCTTCCCAGTGCTGCGGGGCCACCACACCAGGGGATCATTTGTTTCTGTTTTTGCCACAAATGAATCGCTCTCACTCTCTGCATTAAAAACCAACTCATCTGATCTGTTTTACTTTTTCTTTTTCTTTTTCTTTTTTTTGATTTTTACGAGACAGGGTTTCTCTGTATTGTTCTGGAGGCTGTTGGTCCAGCCCGGCCTTGAACTCACAGAGATCCGCCTGCCTCTGCCTCCCGAGTGCTGGGATTAAAGGCGTGTGCCACCACTGCCTGGCACTGTTTTACTATTCTTATTGCTGTTTTTCTTTGCAGCCCCTGCTGGACTTCAACTCAAGGTCCTCCTCACATCTCTGACTCCCAAACACCGGATGACAGGCAATCACCATTGATCTTTACACTTCCTGCTCCCTAAATCCAGAGCTAGAGATTCAGCCCTAAATTCTGTGCATGCATTCAAGGCCCTAAGCTACAACCCAAGCTTGATCCGATTGAAGACAGTTTTTAAAAAATTTTACTTATTTGGAGGGTGGGAGACACATGTCTGTCATTGTGTGTGTGTGTGTTGTGTGTGTGTGTGTGTAGGCATGTACCACAGCACATTTGTGGATGTCAAAGGGCAATTTGTAGGAATCAGTTTTCTGTTTCCTTCCTGTGGGTTCTGGGGATCAAACCCAGGTTCAGCAGCAAGTGCTAAGCCACCTTCCAGCCCCCACCCCACCCCCATCTTCTCAGTGCTACAAAAGAAGAAAAGGGAGTACTAGTGGAGTTTATTTTATATTATTTTTACAGCATAGGATGTAGCGCAGAGCAGAGTTATTCAGAGATGGCGAGCAGGGTGAATTCTGGAAGGCTCCAGGACCCTGTGACATCTGCAGCATTGTGGGAGCTGAAGGCCCCTCTTGGCTGCCAGCCCAGCCTGTTGTACAACTGTAGGGAGAGTAACAATGCTTGTACCCAGAGGCCAGCAGGAAGCATCTCTCCTGATGACAGTGATCTCAGTGTCCAGCTGACACTCAGATACAGTTTTGAAGCTTCCTTTCATTTGCGGACGTGGTTCTCAGGTACTGTTACTAACTCTGTTGCATCCACACTTGGTACTGACCTGTAACATGAGGCATATATATTCCCTCTGGCTGTTATTACTTTTTTTTTAAGTTGATTTTCAGCATAAGTGCCACCAAGAGGAAGTCCTGAGAAGAAAACATCCTGTCCAAGAGTAGAAGGATTTCTTGTGTGGTGAACTGGGCTGTAGTTCCTGAAGGATCAGCTGACCCTTCCTGTTCATAGGAGCAAGGATAAGCTGTTGTGCCTGATCAGGGGTCCCGCTGGCCCTGATGCTGGTCCGGCTCTATCCTGGAGTCCCAGGGTGCTGCCTGTCAGTGTCAGCAGGATCCCAGCAGGTGCAGCAGGCTCTGCAGGGCTTCCTGTAGCCCCTGGCCTGTGAGGGCACTGCAGGCCCGGAGCTCCCAGCAATTGTCTTGGAACCTCTCCAGGCCCAGCCTGTTTCTGATTTCAAGCAATGGAAGAGCATCGGGTGCCTCCTGCTTGTTGGCCAGTACCAAGAAAGGGACGCCGGCCATGTTGGGGTCTTCCAGGACTTCGTTGAGCTCAGCCACTGCCTCAGGCAAGCGGGCTTCATCTGTGCTGTCTAGCACATACACAAGGATGTTTGTGCCTTCCAGGTAGTCCTTCCAGGTAGCCCTGAGCCGAGTCTGTCCCCCAATGTCCCAGAGAATCAGCGACACATGTCCAGGAACTTCAAGAGGCTCTACATTGAAACCAACCGTGGGCAAGGTCTCCACTAGCGGATTCCCTTTGAGCTTGTACAGGATCGTGGTCTTGCCAGCAGAGTCCAGGCCCATGATCACCACCTGGGCCTCTGCCTTGTGACCTCTGGAGCTCACAGAGCCCATGGTGGCTTCTGGTCAATCCAACTGCAGAAAGGCTGGGGGCCTGCACATCAGCTATTCTTTTTTTCTGAAGAAATGCAAATCCATGCAGACACACTGACCGTCTACCCCAGAATGAAACAAGTCATTTCGGGGAAGGGTTTCAGACCCAGGCTAGACTTTTGAAAGATTCAGGAAGTGAGGAAATGTGAGTCACCAGCTACTGCCTTATCTCTGGCGCTGCTGAAGGACTGCAACTTGGCTGTCCCTCCTCAGCAGTTAGAGCCGAGCTGAGAGGCAGCTGCAGGCAGACCCTGCTCGCAGAAAAGTTCAACACAGTCAGTGGCCTCTGCCTTTAAAACCAGACTCAGCAGAGAAGCCAGGTCGCCAAGTGCTAACTTTTTGGATCTCTTTCCAGGACCAACCAGCACACTGGCCTTTTCGATTGACAACCACTGCAAAATTGAGTCAGATCTCAAAGGCCTCTAGAGCACCCCACATGGTTTTTTAGGAAATCCTATTTTTTTTTCGAGACAGGGTTTCTCTGTGGCTTTGGAGCCTGTCCTGGAACTCTCTCAGTAGACCAGGGTCTCGAACTCACAGAGATCCGCCTGCCTCCGCCTCCCCAGTGCTGGCATTAAAGGCGGGCGCCACCACCACCCGACAAAAAACACTAATCTTGAAGGCCTAAGAACTGTCTACAACTTAGGAAAAACTTGGGGGCGGGGAGCAAGAGAAGGGACACAGCACTCCCGGGAGTGCCCATCAAGGAGCCTTACTAGCCCCTGGCGTGGGTAGGAGGGCAAGCACCGGGGTTACCTCTGTGGCATGTCTGGACTGAGGCAGGTATCCCTCGGCTAAGGCGCCCCTTCCACCATTCACGCTGCTTTCTGTTGGTCGCCATGTCCCAAGAGTGAGGCATGAAGGAAGTGTAGTGGCTGCTGCAATGTGTCCCTTTTCTGCTTCCCCTCTCAAGTGGTGAGGGCGGAAATCCGTCTATGCTGGGTGTGTGCCTCATGGACATCTCAGCTCTCCAGGGCTTGCCCAGCGCCAATTCTCATTCGTAGCAGCCGAGTCCCCAAGATCTGAGGGGGACTGCCAAGCGCAAAGGTGTGCTTCCTTTAGCTGCGTCCTGCTGCATTTCCCTTGCCTGCTGTGATAGACCTCCCTGGGAAGCCTGAACCACAGTCTGCTGGCACATGCAGCAGTGCTCTCCTGCAAAACTGTCAGGCTTGCCGCAATCGAAATGGAGTCACTGGTCAAGCCCTAACAAAAACGAGGAGGAGATAGTGAATCAATTAATAATATATGAGTACATAAAGTAAATAAGTAAATAAAAAACCACATTCCACATAAGAAAAAATATGCAGTATTTGTCTGTATGAGTCTGGTTTATTTCATCTAATATGATGGTCTCCATCCATTTTCCTGGAAATAAGTGTGTGTGTGTGTGTGTGTGTGTGGGTTACTTTATTTTATATTGCTATGACAAAATACCCCAACCAAAGCAAATCAAGAGAGAAAAATTTCTCCGGCTCACTGCTCAGGAGCACGGCCCATCATGGCGGGGACGTCCACGTGGCTGGAAGATCGCTGTTCAGGGAAGAGAGACAGACACAGACTTCCTCCCACCTTTGCCACCCTCAGCAATGTGATCAGAAACATAAGCAGCAAGAAGGTTCTGGAAGAACTCTGGTTTGCCGAATCACTGACTGCCATGCTCATGGATTTCCAAGCTTCACTTAGACCTGTCACATCCCTTAGTCCTTCTGCAGAAACCACAAAGCTCTGTCTCTGGAAGGGTTCAGTATCTTAGAGGAGGTAGGTAGGCCTTGATTTAGTCTCACTACGTATGCACACACACAAGCAGATTCTCTTATTAGAGTCTTAAAACAACAACAACAACAAAACCCAGAATCTTTGACTAAGCCCCAATCTGTTTCTTATGTCCTATCAGTGTTAGCTTACTTACAACTCTCCAAAGCACCAAGAGATAATATTTTTGTTGTGGCCATGGTGGGGATTAAATACAGGGCCTCACGTGTGCCAAGTAAGTACCTGACCACTAAGCTATTCCAAACTAAGTCTGAGAGATAAGGTTTATTATTTATTTATATTTTTTTGAGACAAGATTTTGCTAAGTAGCTTGGGTTGGCCTGGAACTCACTATGGAAACCAGGTTGCTTCGGACTTTCAGTAACCCTTCCCCCAACCTCAGCCTACTGAGTCTTGTGATTAGAACCATGTGCAGTCACCTGGCTTGAGATCTAAAAGTAATTTTTTTCCTTTATTAATTTATTTTTTTACATTCCAATCCCAGTTCCCCCTCCCTCCCTCCTCTCCTCTTGTTTTTCCCACTCCCTCCTCCCATCAGCTCCTTGGAGAGGGTAAGGCCCTTTAGGAAGTCTACTAAGTCTGTCCCACCATCATCTAGTTGAGGCAGGACCAAGGCACCTCTCTACCCCCACACCCCTGTGTCTAGGCTGGGCAAGGCATCTCTCCATATAGAATGGGCTCCATTAAGTCAGTTTGTGCTCTAGAGTTAGATCTTGTACCCACTGCCAGTGGCCTCATATATTATCCCAGCCACACCGCTGTCACCTCTATTAAGGAAATCTAGTTCAGTCTTATGCAGGTTCCCCATTTGTCAGACTGGAATCAGTGATCTCTCACTAGCTTGAATTAACTGGTTCTGTGGGTTTCCCCATCATGGTCTTGACTCCTTTGTTCATATTATCTCTCCTCCCTCACTTCAATTGTACTCCAGGAGCTTGGCCCATTGGCTAGGTGTGGATTTCTGCATCTGTTTCCATCTGTTTCTGGAAGAGGGTTCTAGCTTCTCTGGGGTTGTGGACTGTAGGTTGGGTATCTTCGCTTTATGTCTGGTATCCACTTATGAGTCAGTACATGCTATATTTGTCTTTATGGGTCTGGATTACCTTGCTCAGGATTGTTTTTTGTCCATTTGCCTACAAATTTTAGGATGTCATTGATTTTTACCGCTGAGTAGTAATCCATTGTGTAAATATACCACCTTTTCTTTATCCATTCTTCAGTTGAGGGACATCTAGGTTGTTTCCAAGATCTAGCACAATAGCCTATAGCTCCACCTTCCTGGGATCTTATGTCCTCTTCTAGCCCAGCAGAAAATACTTCCTGCTTCCAAAGAGGCTGAAGTTTTGCTAGACCTTGTATCCAAGTTAGTAACGTTGACTTTTTAAGTTGATTTTTTTTATGTGTGTGTGTCTGTGTGGGTATATGCCATGCATGTACAAGTTCCCATGGAGGCCAGAAGAGCATCGGGTCCCCAGGAACTGGAGTTACAGGTGGCTGTGAGTTACCATGAGGGTGCTGGGAACTACACTTGGGTCCTCTGGGAGAGCAATGAGTGCCACTAACCACTGAGAAATCTCTCTGTGTCTGTTGATTTTATTACTCTTCAAAGAATCAACACTTGAATTTCATAATTTTCTAAGTTGTTCTGAGTTTTCATTCTTTTTTTTTTAAAAATTCATTTAACTCTATTTTATGCTCATTAGCATGTTGTCAGATCTCCTGGAACTGAAGTTACAGACAGTTATGAGCTGCCATGTGGGTGTTGATAATCGAACCTGGGTCCTCTGGAAGAGCAGCCAGTGCTCTTAACCACTGAGCCATCTCTCCAGCCCCGAGTTTTCATTCTTATTTTCAGTATCTTAATTAATTATCCTATCTACTTTATATTCAATTTGTTTTTCCTTCATATATACATATATATATATTTCCTTTCTCTCTACATATATTTTCATATATATTTAACATAAGGTCTTTCTGTGCATCCCTGGCTGGCTTGGAGCACACTATGTAGACCAGGCTGATCTTAAATTCACATAGAACACCTCCCTGCCTTTGCTTCCTGAGTGCTTGGATTAAAAGTGTGTGCCACGACACCTGTCCCGTTTTCTACCATTTTAAGAAAATTTATTTCACATTTTCTGCTTTTCTAATACAAACATGTAGCTAAATAAATCCGTTTCAAGCAATGCTTTTACTGCAACCAACAACTTTAATATGTTATGCTTGCAGCATCAGTCTTCCTTGTTATTTCCTCTGTGATGTATAAGATATTTAGAGCTCATATAGTTTTAATTTCAAGTGACCTGAGATTTCTTCAGATCTTGCTGTTACTTGTTTCTACTTTCATTCCACATGGGCACACAGAGGTCATACTCTATATGACCATAATTCTTGAGTAACTCTTGGTGTTTGTTTAGGTCCTAGCTCGGAACCTATGCTGCCGAGTGATCTGGGCTCCATCCCTCTGAAAGCACTGCACACATCCACAAGACTGTGTCTGTAGTAGGACCTGGCTAGAAATGGATTGCCAGACTCTACCCTAAGAGTTAGACTGCATGCTACTTTGAAGGTGATGCAAAGGACAGAAACAAACCCTTTGCTCTCTCTACATGTTTTCTGACTCAATTCACTTACTTTTGTTACTGGTTTGATGTATCCTAAGGTGCTATTTGTTTTCTTTTTTTGCCATCTGGTGGTTGAACCTGGGGCCTGCATGCTAGCCAAGTATTCTATAAACCTGGCCCAAAGATGTTATTTTTAAAAATTCAGTGAACTGACGCAAATGCCCACCCCCATGACCAGTTTTCATGGTGCCAGATGTCCATCAACTGATGAACAATAATGAAGGTGTAGTACATTTATACAACAAAATAGTATTCAGCTGTTAAGAAAAATGAAATTATGAAATGTACAGGGAAAATGATGAACCTGGAAAAATTCATCCTGAGGGAGGCAACCCAGACCCAGTAAGACAAACATTGTATGTGGACTTTAGCTTTTAAGTTTTAGATATGTGTACTTCAATATGAATAACCATAAAGGTTAGGTAGATAGTAAGGGACCAGGGAGGAGGATGGGAGGGGGAATAGAATATAGTGTTATAAAGAAATAAAGAGAAAGTTAGGACTATTAAATTGGGAAGGGGATGTGAGGGCAGGGTAAAGGAGGGAATTTGGGAGGGACAACTAACACTAAAGACTTTTGAAAAATTGTATGGAAACCTACTAGTGTAGAACCTCCTAATATATACATTAGGCTGGGTTAACCTAGGTTACCTCACTCAGGATGAATTTTTCTAGGTTCATCGTTTTCCTGTAAATTTCATAATTTTTTTCTTAACAGCTGAATAATATTTTGTTGAGTAATACATGTATGTGTATACACACACATATACACACATGCACACACAAAAGGAATTTAATTGGAGTTACCAAATAATGAGTGTGACAATGTCCAAATTAGACATCTTACACTACCAATTAAAGCCCCAGTAACAGAAATGGGTTATATCTTGTTGAGTCATTAGCCAAAGGGACCTCATAGACAGCCCCCAACATTACAAGCTATTGCCAATGCTATTGGTTGTTCTCCAAAAACTGACAGTAAGGCCCTATTGGTGGAGACACTTATTACTTATATCATTGAACTTGGAGAACGTGCTTTTCTTATTAGTACTGATTCCAGGTCAGTTTCCAATACTTCAGCATCTTAAGCTGTGAGTTCTATGTTTAACTTTATTGAGATGGTTCTTATGGTCATGAGTGTGGTCTAGATTGTTGTATTTCAGTGTGAGTAGACAATTGAGGGCAATATAAGGTATTTCATGGTCCTTTTAAATTGCAATGTGAACTTACTGATTTTCATTGTTTGCCCTGGTCATTTCTGATAAACGGCCATTGAAATTTACAACTAGAATAGTTTTGGATGAATGGGCAAAAACAATTCTCATTTCCTCTTTAAATATTGACATTTTAATATATATATGTTTATATTACTTTGTTTTTCATTTTTGTTCCTGACATATTTCCATGCTTTGAAATCTGCTCGGTTTGTTTCCATTTTTATTACAAATGAATAGTTCTGTCTTTGTAGAGTCCATGCATTGTGTGTTTTGTGCAGTCATAGCCTCCTCCAC